AAGAGTTCCAAGGTTGCTTCTGTCTCCCCAAAGTCAGGGCCAGCTCACAATTTTTTGGGCCCCCTGATCCATCGAAACATCAAAATTGCAGTTAATTGTGGTATAAACTCACTAATATAAAATAGTCAGGGCTGGGCTGCGCGCAAGTGGGCTATGTTGCTAGGGGTGTGGGATGGGGCCAGCACATGCTGGGGACACCTGGGTTCCCTCCCTGGGGCTGGCGCTGGGGTGGGAACAAAGCCAGGAACTCCTTCCCCACTCAGCTGGGAGGGGCTCCCTGCCTGCATCAAGCCCTTTAAACATGGGGCGGGGTGGAATGGGGGAGAGTGGGGCATGGCCCCTTGACTGCGAGGTCCCCTGTGGCCACAGGTTTCACAGGATAGGATGGGGTGGCCTTTTCCAGGGTGGCAACCACAGAACACGGGTGTTTCTTTGTTTGTCCATCACTTTTGTAACTTTTCTCATCTCGAATTGTCCAATCCCCTGGGTCTGTACCAAGCATTCCCTATATGGTGCACTGTTGCACCAGCATTGGTTTATTTGTTTTGAAAGTAATTTGCATTTTTTTATTTTAATAATATTTAGTTTTAATTAAGCTTTAGTATAAATCATGTTTAGCATGAGTTTAGCAGTCATTTTATTTTATGTTTTAATATAGTGATTTTAAGTTGCTATTATGAATTAAGTTTATTATTGTGTCTTTATATATGTATAGATGGATGGATGGATGAAGAGTGAATGGTAAAAGCAGAGTAAGCTATATGGAGCAAACAAGTTACCAAATAGTGAATCATGCTGAAAAGTCTGAAGAATCCAGTCTGTACCAGGTGAAGAATAAAGGTAAACAGAAAAGACAAGGTCTGCAACATCTCAAAGCTAGAGGCTCCGGACACAGCCCACACCAATGATAATGGAAGTATGTTGTAAAACATATTGAAGAGCAACACCTAAAGACAATCATGTATGGGTCTAATTGCTTGTCAGGATGGAAAAGCACTGAGATTTCAAACAAAGGAACCACAGAATCAGAAAAGGTGGACCAGTCATCCAACACCAACTTGATAACCCCTATAAAGGAGCTAGTCTTAGCAGCAAGAGGTGGGGAACTCTTTACTGGAACACTCTGCAAGCTTTACTGGAACACAGGCGAATCTGTATCCCCTGTTTCTCATACTAACTAGGCTGGCCACCTGGTGTATAGTGTATTTGAGCAACAAACTTTTTGGTAACTATAACATCTGCAGAGTAATTGAGAGTGTGTGTGTGTGTGTGTGGATATGTATGAGCACTCTTTTGAATATTATAATCAATAAACAGGGCATTTTGCCTTATCCCCCTCATAAAGTCTTGTTCATCATTTGAGCTAACTGGTAATTTGTGCAACAGCACCAATCCCCTGGCACTGTGCCAGCCACATTCCTTATAGGGAAACTGTTGCCCCTTGCTCACCTAGTGCCCAATCACAGCACTCATCTCCCAGTGCCACAGAAGGTGGTCTGTTCAATTTTGTTGCTTAGTTCTGGGAAGGCCTGGACTATGGCTAAAAGCCTTAGCATATCTCAGTTTGCTTGCTACACTCCCCTTCTTGATGCCCTGAAATACAGTGGCATTACACAGATATTGGTTGACCTCTCACATGCGACTCAAGGCATGCAGGTTGCTGCTGCATCCAAGACATGGATCTTCTTACGAGCGGGCCACTGTGCCTTGTGTGACTTTACAGGGAGTTTCAGAGGAGAGCCTTCATCTCTGCCTCCCTTGCTCTAGCTTCCTATCTGGCCAAGAGCTTTCGTGTCTGGCAAATGAGCACATGGTTGATAGTAGGATCCCCAGAGCTAAGACCACCACAAGGGGATATAAAGCCACATTAAGGATGTGGGTTGCAGTAGGCAACCAGCCCAACAAAGTTTTCACTTTTTCAGGGATTCAAATTTTCTTGCATACTGATCAGTAGTACCTTGTCCCAGCGCAGTCTAAAAATAAAGCAGCAATTGCCCTGACACTTTCCAGTAAAAATCATCAAATCTAGAAACATATAAACAACTAATTTTTGCTAATAAAAAAAAAGCTGGAATCTTGTTCAGGCTGGAGCTGTCAGAGATTTTGTGTGGTTCCTCCATCAGAAGGATTTGGGCCGCCAGAGAGCGGCACTGGGGAGTGGGTCTTCTGTACACCACATTTCGTGCACCCCACCGCAGGACAGGGATTCAGCGCTGGGCTGTATCTGAAAAACAAAGTGAAGAGGAGCTCTGCTCTGATTACTTATTGCTCTTCCACTCCTTCAATTGTGAGGAGTAGTACCACTTGCGTATTTTTGCCTTATCATTATGGATTACCACTTGATATACAGTAGGGCTGACTTCGTTAACGATGTACACTGGGCCTTTCCACACAGGAGAAAAAGCACCCTTAGCTCAATACATTACTTGATCTCCCACTGCCACTCTTTAGGTTTTAACAAAGGGCCCAATTGCTTGTCCATCTGAGCATAAATTCTTTTCAGGGTGGCTGCAACCTGATGGTGAGTTTCAGAAATGGTTGCTAACAAGTTGCCCATCCAAGTGTCACTTAGAACATGAAGTTGCAAAGAATCTGGACTGGCATCTCCCAACCAATTTATTCAGGAAGGTGCAGAAGGCATCCTGTCATAGCTTCATGTGGGGAAAATCTGGGCTGCTTATGTTTCTTGGATAGCCATTAAGACCAGAGGTAACTTTTCATCTCAGTCTTTGCCTTGTTGCTCCGTAACCTTTTTCAAAGACAGTTTCAAGGTGCAGTTAGTTCTTTCAACTTGGCCTGAGGATTAAGGGTGCCCTGTGATGTGAAATCACTGTTTTAGACCCAGGGCCTCACAAAATTCTTGCATTACCTTCCACACAAAGTGAAGACCTTGATCAGAGTCAGTTTTGTCAGGAAGCCCAAACTGAGCAAAAATGTCTGCCATTAGGACTTTGGCAGTAGTTAGCACATCATTTTTATGAGTGGGAATTGCTTCTGCCCACTTGGGGAAGGCATCCATTACTACCATACAGTACTTCAATCCTTTTCTGCTCTGGGACAATCGGGATAGTCTACCTGGAGGTGATTCCATGGTCCTAAAATGGGTTGGTGACTTAAATGTCCCTTTACAATTTGTAAGTCTGGGTTATTTGCTGCAATTGTATATGTCATGTTCTATGTCTTCCCTCATGTTTGGCCACCAGCCAGCATTTGATAATCTTTTGAAGATTTTATCTCCCCCAAAATGGCCATCTCTGTGAGCTAGCCCCACCGTTTCCCTTCTTACTCCCTGTGGAACTACCTATATAGGCAATCCATCCTCCCCCTGTTGTGCCAGCACCAATCAATGTTCATTTTTCCAAATTGTCCACTCTCCCCTTTTTCCGCTAGCTTCTGGCCTTGAGGGTTTGAGGCCTGCAATGCACATAGGTCAAGTTCAGGCTGATTGGATCCTGGTTTAGCTGCTGCTACTAGGGCAACCTTACTGGACAGCATCCACAAAGGGCCTTTTAGGGCTCCTTCCTTAGCTGCGGCATCTGCTTGATTATTTAGATCAGCAACCCATGACCTCTTTTGGTATGCTTTTACTTTCCCTATGCTAATAGGCACTTTGAGGTGTTCTGCTAAGTTCCACACATACCGCAGTAGCTGTGTGTGGGTAATTTTGTTTCCCATCTGAAGAGACCCAACTCCTCAGTTCCTATAAGGGTAACCAATCTAGTATTGCATGCACTACCCAATCCGAATCAGAGAAAATGCAAATCCGACCAGTGGTGCCTCTGGAATTTTTCAGTGCCACTGCAATGGCCACCACTTCTGCAGCTTGAGCAGAATGGGGTTCACAGGATCCTTTATAAACCATTAGGTGTTCCTACTGATTCTGTCCAGGCTTGTGCTGGAATTTGTTTTCAGCCACTTTAATTGCTGCAAACCCAGTATGGGGGTTCTCTTCCTGATAGTAACTAGACCCATCAACAAACCACACTAAATACCCTCCACACTTTCTAGAGCTGGATCATAAGTGCAGAAAGCAAATGGACTTGTTTCTTCTGGTGTAGTTTGTGGTAGTGGGCAGTCATGAGTGGCTCCACTAGGTGTCTCCCCATGCTGTTAGGGCATAAGGGACAAGGCATGGGTGGGGGACCTTTTGTACAGTCACATTTCGATTTAATAGAGCTAAGGCCCACTTGGCCAGTTGAGGATTAGAAACCTTGCCTTTGTTGATTTTACCTGACAAAACATATTTGATGGGAGTTTGGCTTGTTTGCAAGACTACTGGGCTGTTGCAAATTAAGTATTCCCAGTGCTGTAAGGCCCAGACCAGTGGCGACACATAGGGAGTGCACGGGGGTGCACATGCACCCCCTGAGAGTGCTGGTGCACCCCCTCACAGGCAGTGATCCGGGGCAGGGGGGCAGGTGAGAGTGCTGGTGCCCCCCCCCCACCCTGAGAGTACCAGCCGGGAAGCGGGGCCTCACCCGGAAGTGTCAGCAGCTTGCAACTTACTATGCCCCTTGCCCACCACCCCACTGTCTGCCCACCCACCTGCCTAGGCTAAGGGAGGGGAAGGTGTTGGGGAAAGCCCTACCAGGAGTGCCGTCAGCTGGCAGGCACTCCATGTCTTCCCCCAACACACACTCCCTCCCTCAGCCCCCAGCCAGCTTCCCCCACAGCCCTACCCTGCCCCCTGTCCGTGGCTGTGGGTGGTCACCAACCAAGTCAGCGCTCACTGCTGACAGCACTGGTGGCATCTGGGGGAGCTCCACGTTTACCACTGCTGCGCTCCTGCTGCTGCCGTGCCACCCAAGCCGTGCAGCTGCTGGGGGTGTGAGTCGTTCATGACCATTATCCTCATATGGGGGTGGGTAAAGATGAGAACCATCCTCAGGAAAGCCAGCAACCTGAGGGTGAGTAGCAGCTACAATCCCACGGCTCCCAGCTTAGCGTCATACTTCAGCACTGCTCCCACTGCAAAACAAGCCTGGAGCCTGGGCCACAGCTGGGTCAAAATATTTATTTAAAAATTAAAAACACACAAACAACATATTATACAATGAAAAAACCAAAACAAAAACAGTAATTAAAAGTCCCACTGGAAAACAGCTGGCATCTGTAACCCTTTATGAGCCAGATGCCTGCCAAGACCTGTTTTAATCACTTACAGGAATTGATAAAAATCATTTCAGTTTGAGACGGATATTGTATTTTGTCACCAAGCCTTCTCCAAAACCCCTTCTGCTCCTCCTCGGTTTGTCCCATGGGTCACAACCCAGTTTGGACCACAGCCTGGAAACCTGAGGTAGTGGGGGGTTCCCTTGAATAGTGGGATCCCAGAAACAGGTGGGCAGGATTCTCAGGACCACCCAAGTCTCCTTGTACTGAAGCAATGGGATTATTTATATTGCTTTAGAAATGCCTGGAAGCCAAGGATGATCCTTGGAACTGATCCTGCGGGACTGTATTTGGCTTGAGTCTGCAAGGAGGGGTGAAGGCCTGCAGCAGAATGCAAGTTAGGCACATTACGGAGCAGTGACTTGCTATAGCTATGCCATGTGTGGAGGACACAGACTCTGGATGGGCAGTGAAAGCCCACAGCGGAAGGTCCTATATTGCTGCAGGTGGTGGCAGGTCTCACCCCACTAGAGCACTCTGTGGAACACAGGCAGGTAGAGGTTGGTTATTTAGTCAGGGCCGTAACCTTGACTCTGTATCTTTTCTGGGGCAGCACAGGGAATTACGTGCCAAAGCCAGCAGTTAGTGGCTGTCCTTACTCTGGCCCCTTCTTCCAAAGTTTGGGTTACTCAAGATAGGTTGGACCCTCCACGCATGTTATATACACCTGGCGGAAGAGTGAGTGAGAGCAGCAGGGATAGCCCAGCTCCTCAGGAACAGGTCAAGTTTCCTGGTAACTAGGTGGTTTCCAAACTGCAGAGCACATGGATTCTATTGGGATTAGGCTCCAAAAAGGCAAGAGACAGGCCAGATGGACTATGGTGACTTGAGCATTCTTGTTAGTGTCAACTGAAAGCAAATCTCCACTGTTGCAAAGTTGCAACCCTCCCTTCATGGAACTCCTCTGCAGATTTATGTAAAATCCCTGTCAGACTGCCATGGGGTCTGTCTTTAATGAAAATCCCCACTCAAAGTCATTGCTGAGTACAGGTAATAGCACTTCCTAACATTCAATGGACTGAATGTATTCCCTGGCCAGGTAAGGAAGATTTGGTGGGGCTAGACACCCTTGTGCTAGGTCTGAATTGGTAACTACACCTCGCCCCCAGCTTACCCTCCACTATCTATAGATGGGCTCCATAGGGGCGATGCTGGCTCTGGTCCTCATTTGCATTGCTGCCTGTATTTTAGTAGGAAGGGTACTTGTCTGCCTGGGTGGTCAAAGGCATCTCTAACTCAAGAGTGCCAGAAGCTCTCCCCTTCAGGAAAGCTCTCTGCTGTTGGCAGAATGTAGTGGCTACTACTGTTGCCTATTGCAGTTTGCCTAGTCCAGGCCCCAGCCGAGGCTGTCTGAATGGGCAGGGACAGGTCTGGAAGGAGGGTATGGCTGTGCTCAGACCAGTCAGCTTGGTTTATAAGGCCGAGTTCAGATCTTCACAGAATTGAGCCAGAGATCTGTTCCTCAGGGTAGGAAATAGGGAGCTGGATGATCCCAGGTTGCCCTTAGAGTCCCAGCTCTAAAGGAGGGCACATAACATACACCTTCAGTATATGACACCCCAGCCTTCTCCATTCAATCTACTGATGGGAGAAAGGAGACAGGGAGGCAGGACTGCTCCCCGATTTCCCCTGCCCAGAAAATCCTATGGTAGCTCCCAGGGCCACAGGTGCGTGAGGCAGGTTCACAGTGATCAGAACGTGCAGAGGAATAGCACCAGCAGGGATGCACAGCAGGTAGCCCAGGGGAAAGCACCAGGTCCCCAGGGCAGGGGAGGCTTCTGCTCAGCACTAACCAATGGCTGCACTGGGGCAAAGCAGAGGGTGAGATGGCCAAAATCTAGTAGCCGTTCAAGGCTCCTCCCATCTGTACAAGTGCTCACTACTGATTCTGATCTGACTGGTGACCTATCCTAGGGTGTTTGATTGCAGCCTGGCTGGACACAGTGCCACAGCTCCACTTTCTAGCCAGCCTATGAGGTGTGTTGAGCTGGTGGGGCAGGTATACACATCCCCAGGGGGCAGGGGCTGGTCCAGCTGCAGCATACTCCCAGAGGGCTAAGGCAGCAGCTTGTGATGGAGCAACAGGAAGCCAGAGGCAGACACTTCCCTGTGCCAGGGGCCAAGCACCTTTTACAATGGTTTATTGCTGGCACTAACACATTGATCAAGGACTCTAATGCCACAAGGATGGGGAACAAGGCCTGGGAGCCAGCTGGCCACTGCTCCTTTGCTTGGAGCTGGGGAACAGAATTGTTCCTCAGGAGAGGGTGAGTTTGAGATAACAGGCTGAGAATGCATTAAATCCTCTCCTTTGCTATCAGGCCAAGTCCCCACTTGCAGTCATCAGGGGTCTCAATGACTGTAAAGATGTTATCTCTGTAGAAGGAGTTTGTGGGAGAGGCTGGATAGTGAACTATCCACTGCAATCAACAGCAAACAAAACAGACACCCCAGAGGCTCTCTAAGCACCAGCCTTCAAGGAGGCAAGTTCCCCCTAGCCCCTGGGGCTCAAGTGGGGTCAGCTGCTCCAGGGATGGCTATTCCCAGTGTGGTAGGACCTTAAGGGAGAGCAGGCCTGCAGGCCTGTCAGGCCTCTTCCAGCAGCAAAGGCACTGGTTCCACTCCATCCCTGGGATGACTGCAAAGGCACAGCCCAACCCTAGCAGAGCCTGCCCCACAGGTACAGCTGCTCCAGAGCAAGCAGGAGGGGAACCACAGTGGGGGGGAGGCACAAATGCCCAGCACCATGCCCAGAGCCTGCCCAGTAATGTTAGCAAGAGAACTCATTTGGGGCTTTGCTACATCTCCAAATGTTCAGACCAGGATGGACCTCTGGCAGGGCATTTGCTTGCCACCAGTTAAATGCGTGCACTGGCAGGGCTGGGGAAGCACGGAGAGGTCAGAGCAGCACCCTAGCGGTTGTATGCAGAGTGAAGCCTTTGCTGCCAGGGCACCAGGCAGGGCTCAGCTCAGATGTCGCTGAGGAGAAACAGTCCAGAGAGTCTGTGCAAAAAATGAAACAAAAGGGTTAAACCCCAAGCCCCCAGAGATCCTCAAAGCAGCTCAAATAAATACACATGCAGCGTTTCTGTCTTGTGGCTAAGGAGGGGAGGCAGCACTGCCACGGCTGGGGAAGCCTTGCTTCTACTGTTGGCGCCCCCCAGCCTGTAGGACTGGTTGGGCCGCCCCGACCGATGGCGCTGAGAGGAAGCTCCTTGTGAATGCAGAGGACATGTGCTTCAGGTTGGATTTTGCACCAGTTTATTGTGTATCTTCAGAAAGGGCTGTACCAAGCTGGGTCCCGGCCAACTGAAGGGGCATCCATCCATTGCAGATTCAGGTTCTGGAAGCTAGTCTGCAGCTGGGGGGGGGAGGGGAAATGGAGCGTTATGTTCACCCTTAGGATATGGCTATGGCAGAAGTGTGGTTGCAGCTCATAGCCATACCTTGGCTAGTATTAACCCTGCCAAGCTTGGGGACTGATAGCAATGAAATCACAGCAATCAGGGCACCAGTGCAACCTGGGACCCTGAGGAGGTAGCCAGTGCCCAAGGCAGGTAGAAGTTCTTCCTGCCAAAGCTTCATTGCTAGTGGTACTGGAGCCAGCTGGGTTAGAATCTGCACAGGTATGTCTACGCCCACTGCCAGCTCACCACTGTTTGCAATGCA